GCAGTGCTTACACGTTTCGCACCCAGGGTGAAGAGGACACGGTCCAGTCCACTGCGGGCATTAAACAGGGGTGTAAGCTTGCCCCCACACTTTTTTCCATGCTTACGGGCACCATCTTCCGGGAGCTCATAGCTCTTGTTGGGGTTCGAGCCGTGGTGGACTACCTCACGGGCTACGCAGATGACCTTACGGTTCACCGTGACATCCACTCAATGGAGGACCTGGATCGCGCTCATGCTCTGATTGAGCAATTGTTGCAGTTGGTCCGTCGCCATGGATTTGCTGTCAACGGTGCAAAATGCACTGTTATGGTCAAACTCGAGGGCCAACAGGCGCAACGCGCCATCTCCAAGCACACTTATTGGCGCACCGCGCCTGACGGAACCCGCCATAAGATGTGGAGACTGGGAGAGTCCAAGTCTCACGAGGGCTTTCCGCTGGTGACGTCCTTTAAGTATCTCGGCGTCATGCTCTCCTACTCCAACTTCGAGAAGGCTACTCTCAAGTTCCGGTTGCAGGAGGGCAATGTGAAATTGCAGCAGGTACGCCGCTTCGTTCACAACAGACGAACGGCGGGGCCTGCATCGCGGTTGCACATTTGGCATAGCACTGTCTGGGCCACAGTAGCCTCTGGATTGGTGGATGTGGGCTTGACCCTAGAGACAGCTAAACTGTTGCGGGCTTGGCACGCTCGCAAAATTCGAGCTGTCCTGAACAAGCCAGCGCACCTGACACACATATCCACGGCTGACCTCTACGCCTCCCATGAAATCATGGACCCTGTCCGTAAGCTGCAGGCGCGACAGGCCAATCGTGTCAAGCGCTTAGGTGCTCGCGGCGGAAAACTCCTGCGGGGGACATCTCTTTAACCCAGCGCGCGCTTCTCCAGGCGGAGGCACTCTCTACTAGTTATGCAGACGTTCTGCAGCAACTTTCTAAGGACACATCACAGCAGGAGGCCCCCCCGTCCTTCGTGTGCCCAACGTGTGCTCAGGCCTTCGACACTGAGGTCGGTCTTCGCACCCACCAGGCCCGCAAGCATCCAGGCTCGGTCATCAGATATGTCCCTCGAGGCTTCTCCCCCACCCTCTCTGTAGGAGGGCTCCCCAAGTGTGCGGCCTGCAACAGGCAATTCCCTCAGATGAAGGGCTTAAAGGACCACTTGCTATCAGGTGCCTGCTCGGAGCCAGCTAGGCTACAGGAGCTGGATGACGCGGCGCACCCTCCCTTGGATTCGCAGCATCAGCCCAGATTGCATCCCAGGCAGCAGCGCTTGCATGACACTCTGACAACACACACGGCTGTGGAGCTCGGACGATCTGATGAGTCTCAGGACCTTATGTCACATTGCTTGCTGTGTGGGTTCTGGACCCCGGACAATACCAAGCTCAAGTCTCACATCCGGCAGGCCCACAAACCTGAATGGGCGGCTCATGGCGCTACAGCTGCAACTCAGAGCAGCAAATCAGGCCTGACCCTTGTCAAGGGCATGCCTTGCCCGTGCTGCCGCAAGCCTGTTACGGATAAGAGGCAGCATCCGGCACAATGTCCGATCCTTTTTCAGATTCTGTTTTATGACTTGGTTCATGCACTTTCCCGCTGCCAGGGCGGACCGTTACGCAGGTACATGCCAGCGGTTGGCACGACACAAGGCAACGCACCCACACGGGACGATACCACCGCTGTTGGAGCAACGCCCCAGACTCGCCAGGCAACGCCTGCAGGCCCCCTGCCACCGAAGTCAGGGACAGTAGAATCAAAGGACGGCGCGCTCGCTGCTCCTCGCTCGCTGCGCAACATCTCCAACTACTGCTATGTTAACTCAACGCTTTCGGCCCTGGTGCCGACGTGCATCTTGCTGGAGCACGGAGGGGCAAGCACCTCCCTCCATCAGGAAGTGGCTGATTCTGTCTCTGGTTCTCCTTTCACCCTGACTGCCTCTTTCACGCTTCGCCATCTTACTCCCGCTTGGCGCTATGATGGCCAACAACAAGATGCTTCGGAGTTTCTAGTGGCCTTATTTGCAGGCATTACCGCCTTTCCGATTGCACGACCCTGGGAAGTCAGGGATGTAAACACTACTGAGGTCACCGATGCGGGAGGTCCGCTCGCTTTGCTGCCAGCTCCAACGACAGGTGGATCCCATGCACTTCAGGAGCTGCTCTCTCGGTGGTCGCGCCAGCCGGTGCACACCGCCTTTCGAGGGCAGCAACGACTGGTGGTTCTCACAGTGGCGCGATTTGTTGAAGGCCGCAAGCTCAGCTATGCTGTCACTGGTCTGCACCACCCCCTTCAGCTCTCGCAGTGGGCCCCGCCGGGCTCCGTACAACTAGAGAAAGGATGGGTTCAGTCCTGTATCTTCCACATAGGTGACACCCCGCACAGTGGACATTATCGCTCCCTCTGGAGGAGCAACCCCGATCAACCTTGGCTCAGCACGGACGATGGTCGTCCGTCGGTTCAGGCCTCAGATTCAGATCTCAGGCAGGCACGCCACGGCTGCTATGTGCTGTTCGTGCGACTTGGTTCAATACCGCACACAGCGGAGGCTGGCCCTATGCCAGTCCAAGTTTCAGATGATTAAGCTGAGGGTTCCCCTGAGGCCAGGGGCCCCTACTTCCCCTTGCAGGAAGGGGGCGACCTACTGGCTCTGTGGGACCGACCTGCCTACACGGCAGGGAGCAGGAACGCTGTTGTTCAGTTTTGCTGCTCAAGTCGTACAGCTGACGTAGCTCCACTACTCAGCGTTTGTGTGCAATAGCGGCCTATACCTGTCATGCTAGTCGGGCAACGCTCGCTGCTTTCCCAGAAAGGCAACGCCTGTCAGCAACACAGCTGACCAATGGCTGAAATCGGCTTTACAAACCCCCATTCTCGGCTCGAGAAGGGGGGTTTGTCCGAGGCCTAAAAATCAAGGTTTTGCAACCCCCCATTCTCGGCTCGAGAATGGGGGGTTGTCCGAGGCCCCCAAGCCATTGCCGGCAAGCCTGGCCTCTGGAGGGGAGTACGCCTCTTACGAATAAGGTTAGCCTTATTAGGCACAGTGTGCTTACCGCCAGGGTGTGCCACATCGTTCACCGATGCAATCTGCTTGCCCACAAAAGCGGAGCGGCCTCAGATAACAGCACTAGCAGCCGTTCCACATGCTCATCACCTTTGCGACCTTACGGCCCATCGCCTTTGATTGAGAGTGACCATGAGTGGGACGCCACGCAACAGGCACTCTGAGTGACGGTCCCGAGGGGGTACGGCTCATCAATCATCGGTCCGTGGACATGGGACGCCATAGTCCACACTGAGGGTGACGGAGGGTTTCTCACCCACGCCTGAGACGCATGAACCGGCTTTTGAGGTAGCTTGTAGGGTAGCTCTCTTCACGGTAGCCTGTTTCAGCGCTTTCAGGCCCAGGCCCTTAGCATTTCTGCTCTCAGACCTTTGTTCAGGTGCAAAGGCAGTCTCACACGCCCGCAATGAGCAGAGCCCGCTCGCTCAGCGTCCAATAAAAATTGTTGTTGTTGTTGTTGTTGTTGTTGTTGTTGTTGTTGTTGTTGTTGTTGTTGTTGTTGTTGTTGTTGTTGTTGTTGTTGTTGTTGTTGTTGTTGTTGTTGTTGTTTTCGTTGTTGTTGTTGTTGTTGTTGTTGTTGTTGTTGTTGTTGTTGTTGTTGTGGTTGTTGTTGTTGTTGTTGTTGTTGTTGTTGTTGTTGTTGTTGTTGTTGTTGTTGTTGTTGTTGTTGTTGTTGTTGTTGTTGTTGTTGTTGTTGTTGTTGTTGTTGTTGTTGTTGTTGTTGTTGTTGTTGTTGTTGTTGTTGTTGTTGTTGTTGTTGTTGTTGTTGTTGTTGTTGTTGTTGTTGTTGTTGTTGTTGTTGGTTGTTTGTTGTTGTTGTTGTTGTTGTTGTTGTTGTTGTTGTTGTTGTTGTTGTTGTTGTTGTTGTTGTTGTTGTTGTTGTTGTTGTTGTTGTTGTTGTTGTTGTTGTTGTTGTTGTTGTTGGAATTGGTGTTGGTGTTGGTGTTGGTGTTGTTGTTGTTGGTGTTGGTGTTGATGTTGTTGTTGTTGGTGGTGGTGGTGTTGTTGTTGTTGTCAACAGTAGAACTGCTATATATCATTATTGTTCTCACTAATTTGTTGTCATACTCTTACCGTTGCGGCTATTGTGATGAGTTTTACAACTATGTACCAGATGATAATGGTCGTGATTATCCTCACTAATATTAGTAACCATGCTGTTATGAAAGCCCCTGCAAACGAAGTATGGGCAGGACAAGGCGGAGGTTCAGTTCCCGATTGAGCAGGAGTTGTTGGCTCAGCTCATCACAGCGCTTTTGTGGAGTTTAAGGTTTACATGGCTTCGGGGTTTTGAGCTTGAAACTTTGGTGTTAGATTTTAGGGTTTTAGGGTTTAGTCTAGTGTTTTGGGTCTGGGATGTTTGTTGCACTTTGTGCTGTTTTGTTTCTTTCTAAATTCGTGCCTGGATCCCTGATATTGCCAGCGCCATAGCAATCCGCAAGATTAATGCTCATGCTGTCCTGGATGCACCCGTACTTCCCGCTGAGCAGAAAGAATGCCTTGCAGGAGACTTGGAGGTTGATAACCTCAAATCGTGTTGAGGAGTAAGGCTGGCTTGGTATTGCAGAAAAGAATGATGCCTGCACAAGTCTCTCTATAAGCAACTGACAGAATGACATGGAGTTATGTATATGAAGCCATGGTGGGATCCTGAGGTGAAACTATGTACGGGTTTCCTCCTTTTTGGGGGTGGTAAGAACGTAGTCAGAGGCTCACATACTTCCCGTTTAGTCCCCATGACTGTTTCCCTACTTATTAGTCAGCAGTCTGTTGAGCTAAGGCCATGTCCTCGAGGAACATGACTGCATTGCATTGCCATTCCAAGCGGTCGTCTTTCTTCTTAGGAAGGAGAAGCACAAGCATATGTTTTCCGCATGCATGCTTGCTGAAAGCGACATAAGAAACACCAGTACACTCATCGTGGTAATAGCTGATGATGTGCCACTGGGTTGTGCTATGGCTATGCCTCTGCGGATCGGCCACGGTGGCCGCCACAGACTGGGAGCTGTTGTATTGGGTGCTCCACAACGACATCCCTTACGTTCAGTGGATGCTGAGAATTAGGCTCAGCAGAGGCAGCCTTGAAACAGCTATGTGGTTCGACAACGCCAAATATAATATCCGGCCTATGGTTGTCAAGGGATCTGTCGAGACCACGATGCTCCATGCAGCTGCTTCGGAGGGCCTCCCGGATATGCTGCACGTGTTGCTGACTGCTTGGCCAGCAGGTGCACAGGCAAGAGATTCAAGAGGCAAGCTGCCTCTGCACGCTGCATGTGGGTACGAAGCCGGGCAAAATCACTGCCCGAAAGGCAGCTTGGCTGTTGTGCAGCCGCTGCTTCAACAGTGGCCAGATGGCGTGAAAGTGGCTGATACCGATGGCCGGGTGCCCTTGCACTTTGCAGCCGAACGTGGAGATGTGGAGCAAGTTCGGCTCCTGCTTGAGCATTGGCCAGATGGCGTGAAAGTGGCTGATACCGATGGGCGGCTGCCCTTGCACTATGCAGGCATGAGCGGGGTTTTTCAGCTAGTGCAGCTCTTGCTGCAAAAGTGGCCAAGTAGTGAGAAAGTCGCTGATCTTCGGCCGGGCTATTTGCCCTTGCACTATGCTAGCAGGGGCTCTGACGTGGAGCTAGTACAGCTTCTGCTGCAGCTTTGGCCGGACAGTGTGCAGGTTGTTGGCAACGACGGTTGGCTGCCTTTGCACATGGCAGCTTGTTGTGGCAGTTTGGAGCTGGTGCAGCTGCTGCTGGAGCATTGGCCCCAGGGCTTCCATGTGGTTACCGAGGAAGGGGAAACGGTCCTTTCCCTTTCCATTGCAGGCGGCAGCGTGCAGAATGCTCGTTGGATATTTCAAAGGTCCCCGCCGCCTTCTTACATTCCAAACTTGGACTGCGTGGTCCTGATTGAGCTGGCTTGCAACACCACCGAAGCGAGCCAGTCGTGGAAAGATGCTGCAAGAGACCTGAAGTGCTCGAATACGAGGTGGCTAACCAAGCCAGAATTGCAATTGTGGCTGGACTTCTGTGGTGGCAGCCCAAACTTTCGAGATAGTTCTGGTTCACGGCTCATAGACCTGCTGCAGGAGTCTGAAGCGCAGGACGAACATAGTTTGATTTCTACAGCAGTTCCACAAGCCCAGAGCGTGAGCTAGAGCTCTTTGTTGTTCAGGCTCGGTGTCCTTATAGTAGGATAGTGGCTAGTTGCATCCGCGCGGCGTATAGTATCGAGAGAATACTACGGTAGTCATTAAATCCCCTGGCAACTGAGCCTTAGAGGAGTTCTTGGAATTTCGTGGGACGCAAGAAGACCGGATCACAACAACCTTGATCGACTGGTTTATTTGGGTGGCGCTGATCTCGGCGACGAGCACAGCTTTTGCTGTCGTAGGCCTTGAGTGGTTGACGGTGAGATTTATGCGGAACTGGGGCTGGCTGAAAGAGGTGTCCGTCCCGGATGAGTTCGAAGAGTCAGCGAAGCTGCTGGTTGGCCAAGCTTTTGCCAGGCGTGTGTGGCTGCTCAGGTTGTGGCGCTGGCTCGAGCTTCTGGTTGCTGTTGTCTTACTTGGCCCTTCGCTCTTGCTCATGTACTGGGTGTGGTGGTTGCCCCTGGTGGCTTTTACCTACGTTGTCCCGGCAGCCTGTCGCCATGGAATTCGGAAGCTGGTCCAAGCCCCGGTGCTGACCATCTTCGCACAGGGTGCCGCGGCCCAGGCCATGCTTCCGTTTGGTTCGTTGAGCCGGGCTTGTTTTCTTCTACGAATAGGCAAAGTGCAAGATCCATCGGCAAAGACTTTGACGCCATGTCGGCTTCCGTCCCGTTCTTGCGATCCGCGAACTAGGGCTGCGTTTGCATCCAAAAGCGAAGAGAAGCCGAAGTGCAGGATCCTTCGTAAACAACGGTGCGAACCCAACATGGCCCTTTCAAACCAAAACATCGACAGCTCAACTCCCACGGTAAGGCTCGACAGTTTCGTGTTTTTTTGTTTTTTTTGTGCACCATCCGTGCGGCACATAGTCAGCGAAGCTTGGACATGCTTCACAAGACTGAAAGAAATGTTTTTTCTGGGAGCCGTTTGAACCGTCCAAAAACACCTCCAAACTCACGATCCATCGCTTTTTTTTCACATTCCGGCGCCACTTCCCCTTTTTCCATGACATCCACTACGACACGCCGTTCCCACCGTAAAGGTTGCGAATTTCCAGCTTTCTCGAACAGCTCAACAAAGCATCGACACGCACGATGACTCGATATACTCGCGCGGGCACCTCCTCGCCATCCCCAATTCGACGATTCGAGCCTGCAGTGGTCAGCTTCAAACCTCAATACAAAACATCGACGCGCACGATACCCAGTTCTTGTTCGCCTGGACACCTCCTCCCTCAAAATGCTCCAAAACGCGAGACGCAGGATCCCCGCACGGGCCCACGTAATTCGAAGATCCCCGAAAGCCCCTCACACCTCGCAAAAACCGAGAAATTCTGAAACGACATCCGCGAAACACCATTTCCACCGAAGCTCCGGCGCATTCAGGCTACCACCCCCAAACACGTTTCCCCAACTATTGGCGCGGTTTTCACGTACGAAGCCCAAAATCGCCACCGCGCCCAGGGACAACGTCACTTTGTGCACATGCAATAGCACGACTTCCTGAAAACACGAGGCGGGCACCCATCGAGGGTTGCAAACTCCACAAACCGTCCTGCGACGAAAGTCCCTGGGACTTCGCGAAGGGAGGTACAAGCAACGGCGCCACAATGCCAGCCACCTCACCCGCACGACACATCGTTTTTTGCGAAGGAGCGCGATTGACACTCAGGATCCCTCGTAAAACACGATACGCAAGCCATGTTTCGACCCCCCAAAGTCCACGAAACCTCGCGCCCACGAGATCCGAGAACCTGGGGACACATCCCCTACGGAATCACCCCCGGCTTTAAAATACGTTAGTTTAATACGCAACAGACTCAACTTTCACTAATCTATACTAATCCACGAGACATCCACTGAAGAACTCGAGCTGACACTTTCGGGAATAACTCATGAATATCAAAAGCCAAGGGACATCAGGAATTACTAAACATCTCTGAAAACTGTTGTTTGATGTTGACGAACGCACGAAAAACTATCGGACGATAACTTTAGGGTTTGTTTGATATTTGTTCAGTGCTGACCGTATACAACCAATATTGTTCTGTATAGGTAAGGACTAGTCTAACGTGGGGTCAAAACTCACTACATCTCTGATAAAAATGGTTTCTAAATGATGCTCACTACATGGTCAACATATGTAACCCCATACTGAATGCTAGCTCAATACCAAACCAATATTCAATCACATGCTGTGAACATACCAACCAGGTGTCATTCAAGTAGTAGTTAAACAGGCTATCAAATATGACTACATCCCCTAATCATCTACCAGTAGGAAAATAATAGTGAACATCATAGATTCGTTTCATATGAGATTCAGATCCCGTGTACAATACTGTTGGATGTTATACCGGTCTTGGCATTGATTTATTGGATTTGCACTTCTTCAGCTGAGAGTAAATCCCATATCATGAACAGTTTCAAACGCTTCAGAGCGCCGGGATCATGAAAACAACAAACACCAGGTACAGGATCCTGCTTTGAACCGCGTTTCGGTGTAGTCTTTACGATATCCACAAAAAGGAATCGGAGTGCATAATAATGAAACAGCACCTCGACACATAGAAGCTTGAATAATGAGCAACAACGTTCCCGAATCGTCTTTCTATAACTTTAAAAATAAAGACCTAGTCTAACCATTCAGGCCCGTTCACAACGTTTAAACGCTGATCCTAAGCCTCAATCTCCGACGCAAAACAGTATGAACTTTCAGTCTACGTGCCTGACGTATATGGGTATTAGGACGCATTAAAACACAGTAGAAGACACGACATCACTTATCGTACAGTACAGCAACGCAGCGGGAGACTTCCCGCTCATAACAGTTGCAGTTGCACTATACGTGTTCCCCCCCCCCCACTCCCAAACCCCCCCGACGGTAGATCATGGGTGGGGCGACATGTACGTACACATATACACATACATAAACAAATCAACGAATATATTTTTACATATACACATATACCGATCTACCTGACTATAAACACACCCCAAACCCTGAACCTTCAACAATCCCAAGCTTTAAACGTGATTTAAATAATTACCTCGAAACATCCCGAAATCCTCAAACCCGAATTACGCAAAGCCCCCTAACCCCATGAGCCAAACAAGGCTGAGTGTGGACAACACCCCGGGTTCTGGTGGTGATGGCGGTGGGGGTGATGGTCTCCGCAGCAACTGCGGCTGTTTACGACTGTACGAAAGTTTAAGTGAGCGCCATGGAGGGCTGCAATAGGTGGAGTACTATAGCACAAAATCCACGAGCGAATTCCGAAGAGTCAGAAAAGCGAGAAACGGTTTTGCTTGCATAGGTCATTGCCCTTTTGCGCACAGCGCTGTTTTTGGGCATCCTGGTGAACGTACATGTTGTCAGCGATGCTGCAGTCAGTTACGGTTACGGCGACGATTTTGCAAGTATGCCTTCGATTGCGTGGATGCAGAACCTGATCAACCCTTCCTACGAGGATTGGTATCGGTCAAAGTTGAGACTGTGGCATGAAAGTCGACTGCATGATCACTGGCTTTTTGAAGGGGGCTCGCAAATCAGCGCCGCCACCTTGTACCAGTCTCTGGAGCAGGTGGGAGCATGGCTCCTCGTCCTGTACCTGGCATGCCTGCTTTGTGCAGTCATGTGCCGTTGCGTGCAACTCCTGCTCAAACAAAGGGCCGGGAGCGGTGCTACACATGACGGCCTGAAGCAGCTCGCAGTCCGGGAGTTGTTGAAGACCCCGAAAGACAAGATTCAAGGTTTGCACGCTAGGATTAACCCCGCGATGGCGATGACCAAGGAGGAATTGCCGAGAAAGATTGTGCCGGTTGTCACTTTGACTTGGCCCTGGCACCAAGGTGGCGGGCTGTGGCCAAGTGTGGCTGTTTGGTTGTTGGATGTGGGCCTTGACGTCAACACCATCTTCACTTTTCTCATGGCGAAGCAGTATGTTTTCGCTGCAGTGACAGCTTTCGTGGTGGTCCGTAGCACCTTCAAGCAGGTGCTCGTGCTCGCCCCCTGGAATTTGCCCGAGGCTCGCTGATTCTACCCTTGGCATGTATATTGGAGTATCACGAAACCATGTCACGCCCGAACAGAGGGCGCCCCTGAGCCCTTGTTGTGAGTTAGGGTATTTTGCGCACTGAGTCCCGAAACCTCAGAATGAGTGTTGCTGGTTTGAGCAGGCCGTGCGGCAAAGTGCACACAGAGGCCTCGTGCGGAAGGATCTGCTGGACATGCTGGAGGCGACGACGTTCGCAAATTGAGGTATGTGTACACACACACACACACCCGAAGGGACGAAGATGTGGGATTAATTAATCGTGGGTCGTGCGAGGCCTGACAGGGAGTATGGAGTAGGTGGCGATTTCGGGCTTTGACGATAGTCTGTTTGTGTGGCTGTTTCTGGTGGCACGCAAACCCTGCGCCCAAATCCTAGCCTCCTAGAACTCGGCTGCAGCTGAGGAGGAGAAGCGTTCCGAGGCGTTCCTTTGCGGTTGCATCACGGCCTACTCCGCCATGTTCTCTGTCGACACTGCTGTCCAAATGCTGGTGCAGATGTTAAGCACTCTTCTCAGCACGTGGTTGTTTGCAGGCTCGGCCCGCATATAACAATTGTCCTTCCAGATGTTCGTAGTTTGGCAGTTGAGGGGGCTTCCTCCAAAGTCCACACAAGGAGGAGGGTATCATGAGTGGTGAGCAGTGTGTAGGATTGCCACACACGTGGTTGTGACAGATCCCATGGGCATTTCTAAAGCAATGGGTCTGCTATTACAGGCTATGCTGTTCAAGTTTGCGACTTCGAAATGGATGAGGACCTCTTGGTTAAACATGCTGTCATGGCATGATTCAGCTGTCTAGGCCCTAAAGTTAAGGCGTGTGGCAGGATGCAGGGTAACAACTTCGGCATTCAGATGAAATTGCCAATTCAAGACTGTCGACTAATGTGCAAAACCACCAATGTCGTCCCTACTGAATGCGCCTGTAATGCACCCTCCGTGAATCCAAGTAAGAATCCAGCGCTTTATGCATTTAGTAAGGGTTGTTGGGTCTTGTTGCGGATCGGGATCACTATAAATATTTGCCTCTAAAATGAACCTGGCACCATGAAACACTAACCGGACACCTTCGTGCTCCTTCTGGATTCAGGACGCCGTCAACAACTCGTATGGAGAAGCTGCACAGGAATCGGCTGGGCCTGCGCCAGAAGCAGGAGTCTTACAAACTATCGCAGTGACAAGAGCGCGTGCAAGATGTGTATATACCGTTTTGTTGGTCTCGGGGATTGTTGAGCTTTGGAATTCCAGTCAAGAACAAGACACTGTTCCTGAGTAAGTGCGGTCGTGTCAATGACCACTGTGCAGTGCTGCTCGCAGCTCAGTGTAGCGTACATGCCGTCGTCGGTACTTGGGGTTCGAATATGATCCAATTAAGGAGTTCAGGGATAGGGCTCGTAATTGGGTGATAGTTAGAGATTTTGCTGCAGAGGAGCAGCACCAGCAACCGGAGCGGCAGAAGAGCGACATTAGCAGCAGCAGAGCTCGATATAGCAGAGATTGTAAACATAAGTGGCAGTAGCAGTGGTAGCTGCGTGGTAGAAGAAAAGTCAACGTGGTGCCTAGAGTGCTGGGAGTTGTAGGTGAGCAGAAGTCTGGAAGCTGCAGTGTAGTAGTTAGTGCTGGTAGTTTCACTCTCCTACTCTGTTCCAGTCAGACATGCAGATATCACTAAACTTTAGCTTTCTCCTTTGTTTGTCATCCCATGATTACTATAGTTACAGTCATTAATTATTTCTACAACTTTGCAATTCGAGATCCCGACCCATGTCGCTGGCCGAGGTGCCGGAACCCACGCTCCACGAAACAGCTCAGGGCCTGCCGGCTGGCGAGATGACCCAGAAAGATGCGAATGAGGAGACATGGATTTCCGTAGTTGCCACGGAGGAAAAGGAAGCGGCCTCCCTTGAGGTCACCAAGGACGGCGAGATGTTGAGTAGCCAAAGGTACTCAAGCTGTGCAGCCCCGAAGGGGCCAGCATCCAAGGCAAGAGCGAAGAAGAAGCCTGGGTCACGAAAGCAGAAATCCAAATTTTCCAAGCCATCCCCGGCAGACGTAATTGGCGCCTCAAAACAGGCATCGTGAGCACATTCTAGCTCCTCCCGTACTCTCCCGCCTGCAGAACCCAGCTTCATTGAAAGATTCCGGAGCTTCCGCGCAGTATCGAATGGTATACGTAGTATTGTTTATAGCACTAGTCTCAAATAGTAGCTATTGCTAGCAGGTATACTGCTTTTGAAAGACTCACATCAAGTAAGCCTTTCAGCACGGAGAGGCCAGGCAAGGAAGCGTGGCGACGACTCAGCATACGGTGCTCCGAAACCGGCAGACACCTTATGATCCGTTCTGTTTTTGTCGGCCGGATTGAAGATTTTGCATGCTGCGGTTTTAGATAGGTCATTCTCAGAGCAATGCCGAGCTGCAGCTGGAAAGTGTGTAAGGAGTTCAGCCTGGGCTCATACGGGCGCTTGTCAGACTTATAGCAGCTTGCGCCTTGTAATTAATGGTTTGCAACAACAACATATCCTCTCCAGCACGACAGCCCAACCATTGTACCACCTCGGTTACAATCGCAACAAGAGAAAGCAGAGTCACCTGATGCTGAATCCGCGGAACCGCCTTCAATGCCAGACCCTGAACCATCCAGCAGACCCCTAGAGACCTCCAGTTGAGGGAACTCTACTACAAATTCATTATCCAAGCCTCAGTGCTCAAGGCCTTTGAGGCCTTAGCCATGGCTGTGATTATGATACTGTTTATCCATGATGACGGTGGCTCGGAAGTATCTCTAATTAGCCAGCTTCGTCCACCCCCCAACCTGACAGGCTGTCAAGGGAAAGCCTGAATACTTCAGGCGGAGGCTTTCTAAGTTTCAGGGAGTTTGCGTATTTTCGGGTTTGGAGCATAGCAACACGTAATCGGTTTTATTAAGGCAGTGGGTTTACAAGTCCTTCAGTACCCCCAAACCCTAACTTTGGAGACTCAGGTCTGTCAGGTTTCGTGGGCGTAGGACCTCAGCTTTTGAACGCTTTGGGGGTTAAGGCTAAGGCTTATAGGTTTAGGTTCGGAAGCCGATGTCAACCCTGAGGGTGCCTTCCTTAAGCCAAAATCCTGGAGCAGAAGTCGGATCTTTGATGACCGACATGGACCCAAGTTGCTAGGGCACTTTTCCTACAAACACGCCACAACCCTAAACCCCTATAATCCTTAAGCCCCTATAAGCTCTAAGCCCTAAACCCCTCATAAGCCCTAAACCGCCACACACAGGTTCAGTGCCCTTGACAGCAGCAAGGCGAAGCAGCAGAGCAAGTTTGTATGGCTGGAGAAGCAGTCGGAGGCCGTTGCAGGGGAATTTCCGCCGACACAACCCTCAATAGCTTACAAAGCAAGCATTCATGCTTCTTTATGGAGGCAGGCTTCGTTTATTTGTGACTTCAGATGTTCCCAAACATCCTTCGACCAGTAAACACTTCGTCCTAGGTTTTCTTGAGATGTTCGAAAACGAATCATTGCAGCCTCTGGGCACAATTTCGAACTTAAGTTGCATCAACCACTAGCCGGCATGGCTTCAACACCGCCGCCAAGAGTTTAGTAAAGAAGTTCCTGCATTTCTTCTGAAATGAACCACTTCTACTGATAGCTTGAGCGGTGAATCCGATGTGTCGTATCATAGGGCCCTGACCCAGCTGTAAAATAGTTATCTGCGAAGCCGCAGTTTAGCGCCCTTCTAGGCACAACATCGTCAAAGGGATGGCTTTTGAGTAAGGTCTGGGGTTCCAGACATCATGTTGTAATAATGTTTCGGGCTCGAAGGCAATGGCGGCCCCAGCCCCAATGCCAGCCCTTTCAGGATTTCGGAGTTGTTCTCTTTTCTTGGCTGCAAGTGCGGATCTTAAGGCGTAAGTGCCGCGACAGCGACCCAGCGAACCGTTGAAAAGTTGTGGCAGGCGTTGCAGCGAGAGAACGCTTTGCTCCGACAGCGTCTTCACAGCCTTGAGGTGGGCATCATGAATGTCACACACAAGATGAAAGCCCGAATGATTTACTTGTTCATGCTATGCATTAGGGACACCGAGAAGGATAAGTTTTCTACATACTCAGGCCCCAAGACTACCTGCATGCTCTTTACATACAGACACCGTTGCGGACAATTCGATGCAAAGACAGACAGGCAAACAGGCAGGGACAGAAAGACAGACAGACAGTTTGGACGTAACACTATCTGGTTCGTGAGGCTAGCTGACACGGGTCTAGATCACTGGCTAGTGTGGTGCATGCAGGGGGGTCTCTCCGGCTCCCATGCAGTAATTCTGAACGAAGATCCATGGTTGCAAGGGTATCTTGCTGAGGAGAGTTGTACCGAGTGAACTTCCACCAACATCAAACCTTACATACCGAGCCTTATACCCCGCAGACGTAAGCCCTCTTTGAGACTACGCTTTGTTATAATGGTGTTATACATGGACATGTAATCGTCTAGTCTAACCAAAAAAACGATAGCGGTTGTTTTCATGCTCTCAGAGTAAGAATGTGACGACTCCGGTCCTCGAATCCCGGATCGTCCCCTTGCTTTGCGGAGGCGGTGGTGAGTGAATCGCAGCCCCTTGACTTGGCATGCAGAGCATGGTTTATAGGGTTCAGGATTTCATATAGTTTGAGGTGTAGCTTGAACTTGGTGCAGGGTTTAGTCTGAGCTGTGCTGAGGGTGTCTGAGGCTCAAGCTCAGAGTTCAGGACAAGTAATCTAGATGCAGTAGAAGCTCTCGGATTTGCTTTGTCAGCTCGGATGCATACAGAGAACATGACCAAACACCTATAGTGTGCGTCTAAGGCTTAGGGTCGCAGAACCGGCCAACACCTCTCAACGGCGAGGAAGCGTTGTTGCATTGCCAACAATAAGTTGTTCGCGTGCTTTGCACTTGTGACGTCTTGCCGGTACTGCTTGGCTTCGTTGCTCTTGAGTTTTACAGATTGCATCGTTGCGGAAAGCTGTTGTTGTTCAGTAGCTTCCTGTCCCCTTCCTCAGTAGAGGGTTTCGCAAGAGTGGAATCCATTGGGATGTACGGGCAGCGGCAGCTTTGTTTCAAGTGAAGAAAGAGCCCAACGATGATAGTCAGCACCTTCTCCAAATGCCATCATCCGGGGCCTAGTTGCTACGGCTGTTGGCCTTCAAGAGTGGCGCAAAGGGAAGTCACACTTTTCACCTTCTCAGAGTGCTGGGGTGTACATGTTTAAAAACTAGGCAGTATATTTTTCTACATACTACATCCAACAGTTAAACATGATATGTTTTGTGTTTTACACGTGATGCCGTCAGGTACGGACACCTCCTGACGCCGCAGATCACGCCGGAGAGTTGGAGCCCTATAGATCCTGCTGCCCTGCAGACATCTGCAGACCATAGTGCAGTCTCTTCCAGTACATCAGCAATGTGGGACGGAATGGCCTAATCCTGTCTAGTAGGTTATTGTATACTAAGCTAAGCTTTGGGGGGGGGGGGGGGGGGCTGGCTTAAACAGGGTCTATTTGGAAGCTGGCATTCGGGCTTTGCTGTGGTCATACATCCTCACACGAAGGCCGGCGAGCTGGTCCCAGCGAGCTAGGGCACGTATTGGAACAACATTCTGTTAATGTCAGGTTTGTGTCACAAGACCTGAGTCGGACAGCAAGCTAACACAAAGAAAGCGGCAAGCAGCAACCAAACAGGCCCCTCCAACTTCACGAGAATTCAAAAATCTGCGTTTACCCATCGGTCGGAAAGAAAAGAACTCCTCTCTCTCTTGATCAGGGGATTGGATCCCGAAAAGATGGAGAACAGCATACGCACCAGAAGAAGAAACCTCCGTTCTCTCTTGGCAACGGAAAGAGATCTTGATTATTTCCTTTACCTTTTCAAAAGATGGACAAGGGCATACGCTCAAGAAGAAAGGGCGGAGATTCCCCACCCCTCAACGAAAACACGGAGAAAGTCCCTCCAAGTCATTCAGCTGATCTCTAGCAGCGAGCTCCTCTACCTCTTGGTAACTCTCCATCTCCTCTGACGATAAATGAAGAGAGCTCGCTGCTTCGTCATCCGCAAGAAATGAGCTTCTTTTCTCCAAAAGGGTAAGGAAGAGATCCCTTGGCACATCCCCTACCGCAGCATCTCCAAGGAGCAGAGAACCCTTCCAACTTCACGAGAAAAAAGGAACTCCGGCTGCCTCCTAGTCGACAACAAGAGAGAGGATCTCCTTGTCGTCCCCTCTTTCTCCTCAAGGGATAGAAGAGAGATAGCTTTCAAGAAGTGAGGACTGAACTGTCTCAATCTTCAAAAGAAGAGTCTGGTCCTCCCCTTAGCCTTCAACAAGACATGAGCAGCCCTCTACCCCGTCCTCTGAATTAGCTCCCGAAAAGACAAATCCTCTGCCTCATCCTCGACAAGAAGAGACTGAGAGCAATCTAAGGGGGCAGAGGAAAGCGCCATCTCAACAAATCAAGCAGGCCGCTCCAACTTGACGAGAAAGAAGAGGGCTCCGTTTACCCTTCTGCAACAAGAGACCTCCTTTCTTTCTTGATAAGGGGGGGGATGCTCAAGAAGAAAGGGTGGAGCTCCCCCCAATTTTCAAGTAGAGACATCTGGTCATCCCTCAGCCTTCAAAAGGAAAAGACCTCATGCTCCAAAATAAGAAGAGAGTCCCCAGGATATTCGTGGCAACAGAAGAGAGCATCCCTTTTTACCTCTTGGTATGTCGCCTTGTCGTCTTAATTAAGAAGATTGAAGAGACATCGCTCCTAGCAAGAAAGGACAGAGCTCCCCTAGCTTCCAAAAAGAAAGATTTTCTACCTCATCCTCCACAAGAAATCACTGAGAGCTTCCTCCTATGCAATGAGGCGTAAGAGAGCTCCATCTCAGCCCAGCAGACAGGCCCCTCCAACTTCACGAGAATTCAAAGGTCTCCGTTTACCCATCGGTCGGAAAGAAGATAACTCCTTTCTCTCTTCATAAGGGGATTGGATCTTGAGCATTTCTTTTGCCTTTTCAAAAGATGGAAGACAGCATACGCACAAGAAGAAGAAACCTCCTTTCTCTCTTGGCAGTGGAAAGAG